CGTAACGACACATCAAGTGCGTAACGACACATATATATATAACCTGCGTTGTATGGGCCAGTAGGCCTGCTACAGTGTTCCTCCATTCTTATGTTCTTATGTAATGACAGATTAAGTACGTAGAGTCACATTAAGTGCGTAACAACGCTTAAAAGTGTATAACGACCCCATATCTCCAATATTGTGTTGTCAAGGGAGGCTGTAGCAGCACTGCGACTACCACAGTGGAGGTGGCGACATCCTCCTCCAGGAGACATCGTCCCACCTCGCCACAAGATCACGCGAGCCACGCAAAGTAGGTCACTCTGCGAGCCATGCGATGAAAGGTCAGTTTTTTCCTGCACCTCTCAGACCACTGACCTCACCGGTAACCCAGAAGAATTTTTGTCATGTTAATAGAAGAAGATTCTCAATCGCCCCATCCAAAGAGTCAAGAGTAAGTTGGACAAATAGAAAGGTGGGAATGATTGGATTTGAGAAGGACTGCCTAGTGTGGGCCAGCTGTCCTGCTGCAGTGTTCCTCCAGTCTTATATTATGTGATCATGAACAAGACATATGCCAAAGACCCGCGAGGACAAAACACTTACGGAGGCAGAATAAACTTCTATTTGGACAACATGTCGCTCTGTAAAGAGCCTAATCAAGTCTGAATGAGCGAAACGTTGCCCCCAATGAAAGCTTGTTTTGTACGTGTGACTTTTCTTCACTATTGTCACCAGTACGCCATGCGGATGCAAGGAACCGTGTTATAACGTTTACCCCGGACGAATGCAACACAAAACATTTCTGCACCACTGCGCCACTACCAGAGTCCTCCAGTCTGCCGCAGACAACCATGGGAACACACGGAAAAAAAGGGTCATGCTACGGGGGGTAGCAGGCAAGAGACTGACCCCCTCCCCCCCCATCCACCTGGATCTCCTCATCACACAGAATACACATCACACACCGTGTAACTGGAGCTCCATCCCAGGCCTAAGAGCACTCAGAGCGCACTAGCTGCTTAATTTGAGTGTCGCCATGAGCGTGAGTGATGACACAGGGGCCACTGCCGTAAAACTTCAGGGTTATGACAGCCTGAATGGGGACGCTCACGGCACATATTACCTACAATGCCCCAAGAGATGCTTTGATTGCATCGCTGAGATATCTTTTACCCAAGACACGTGTGCGACACTTGGATATCTTTATTGCTGAAGCGTTTCGCCTACACACACACAGCAGGCTGTCTCAGCAGGCTGCCAGAGGCGGTGGAAGACGTGGAGAGGTAATATTTACATACTCTAGTATTGAAATCACCCTTGTATTTAACTGAAGAAACCTTCTATGCTAGCGAAATGTTCTGGCAGTGAAGACACCCAAGTGTAGCCATGCTTCCTATTCGTCAACTTGTTGGTATTGTATACCAATAGTAATATGACTCACGAAATCGTAGTAATATGATCGCAAATGAACATCGGGTAGGTCCGAAGTTTTCTTACACACCGGCAAAATAATAATTTTATCATTTGATATAACCAAGAAAATTCGGTTATACTCAGGTGCCTATTTTTGCCGCTAGACGGACAAAGGCAGCAAATGTGTGAGGAATCAAACACGGGATCTTTTGGTCATAAACTGGACGTTATCAGCAGTGAGAGTTATCATCCCCCTGCTCCCTGCTGCATACTATTAAGGTGCAAGAGATTACTGTGCTAATGAATATTTCATATCTGCTCGTTTTTATAATTAGGCAATTTTACTTGAAAAAGTCTGCTGACACCAGCAAACCCCACGCTTCTTTGAATTATTATAAAATTCTAACTGTTTTGTTTATGATCCATGCCGAAGATCTAAATCTAAAAATATATTAGCCTCTACAAGCAAAGAGCAAGAATCATAACTTCGGTTCTAATGTTTCAGAGAGACTCGAGTCTCGAGTGACTTATCACTCTGAAAGTGTGTATCAAAACTAGTCTCCGATGACGGCATAAGAACATAAGAAAGAAGGAACATTGCAACAGACCTACTGGCCTATGCGAGGCAGGTCCACTTTCCCCACCGGCTTAAGCAGATGTAGATCATTTTTTAATTCCATAAGACGTTCAATTCCCCCCCCCCCTCTTCCCCAATTCACCAGTGTGTATCTGAACTGCTTCGAGTCATGACACTGTAAGCAGGCGTGTCTCATCTAGCCTCAGTCGTAAAAGTCGCAGTTACATAACAATCTCGTGTCTTCAAAGAGACGGAACGGCCATGTGTGACTTAATAAATAAAACTTGTAATTACTGTCGCTGTCTAAAGGTTTCGAGTTAATGCAATGCGCGAGTGACACGCTGTCTAGAGAGCTGAGGTTGGTGCAGTGGTTGGTGCAATGACTGGGGGGAATTGTTTAGTGCAATGACTGGGGGAATTGTTTAGTGCAATGACTGGGGGGAATTGTTTAGTGCAATGACTGGGGGAATTGTTTAGTGCAATGACTGGGGGAATTGTTTAGTGCAATGACTGGGGGGAATTGTTTATTGCAATGACTGGGGGAATTGTTTAGTGCAATAACTGGGGGAATTGTTTAGTGCAATGACTGGGGGAATTGTTTAGTGCAATAACTGGGGGAATTGTTTAGTGCAATGACTGGGGGAATTGTTTAGTGCAATACTGGGGGAATTGTTTAGTGCAATGACTGGGGGAATTGTTTAGTGCAATAACTGGGGGAATTGTTTAGTACAATGACTGGGGGGAATTGTTTAGTGCAATGACTGGGGGAATTGTTTAGTGCAATGACTGGGGGAATTGTTTAGTGCAATGACTGGGGGAATTGTTTAGTGCAATGACTGGGGGAATTGTTTAGTGCAATGACTGGGGAATTGTTTAGTGCAATGACTGGAGGAATTGTTTAGTGCAATGACTGGGGGAATTGTTTAGTGCAATGACTGGGGGAATTGTTTAGTGCAATGACTGGGGAATTGTTTAGTGCAATGACTGGGGGAATTGTTTAGTGCAATGACTGGGGAATTGTTTAGTGCAATGACTGGGGGAATTGTTTAGTGCAATGGCTGGGGGAATTGTTTAGTGCAATGACTGGGGGGAATTGTTTAGTGCAATGACTGGGGAATTGTTTAGTGCAATGACTGGGGGATTGTTTAGTGCAATGACTGGGGGAATTGTTTAGTGCAATGACTGGGGGAATTGTTTAGTGCAATGACTGGGGGAATTGTTTAGTGCAATGACTGGGGGAATTGTTTAGTACAATGACGGGGGGAATTGTTCAGTGCAATGAGTGAAGGGAATTATTTGTTGCAATAACTTTTGAAGTGTTCAGTGTATGTGATGTTAGTGCAGCGCCATATCTGTTTAGACAAGGAATGGAACGCTTGTGATACTGAATTGTTTATAAACCAATTGTTAGAAACTGAAAGTTGTTTTAAAGGTGTTAACAGATTCCAATGCACTGTAAGAAGTGCTTGATCTGGAATTGTTCGTAACTGTCCCTCAAAGTACAATGCTTATTGTTATAAAAAGCTTTAGTAGCTGACTAATCTAATTAGTTACTTTGAGGGCCGGAGTAGTGCAGCAGAGTTTTTCTAGAATGCGATACTGTTTTCAAAGCCGGAGGTCATCTGTGATTTTGTGCATACTAAAATTCTTCACAACTGAAGTAGCTCTGTAACAAGAATCTACTCCAGTGCAACTCCCGACTAATGTACAACCGTGAATTGTATTGAAATGCGGAGGAATTCGTTTCTTTCTTGCATGCAAGTTGGCAACTTGACTTATGCCATAGTTTGGGTGAGCGTCCAATACGTTTATTGAAGATTTGTTTAATTAATGGTTTGTTAACAATGACCGGACAGTTCCTTCCTATCCCAAACTGGTGATTAATTACAGTCTTGAATGTACAGTCCAACACTAAGCATTCTTAGTGATATAATTTTAACAAATTAATTTTTAACAAATAAATACATTGAACTGGGGACCATTGTTTATGCAAACTTGAGGAATTAAGAGAAAATGTATGGGGGAATTGTTTAGTACAATGACTGGGGGAATTGTTCAGTGCATTGAGTGAAGGGAATTATTTGTTGCAATAACTTTTGAAGTGTTCAGTGTATGTGATGTTGCTGCAGCGCCATCATCTGCTTGACATGGAATGGAACGCTGTGAACCTTATATATATTAACCCCAGTAGAAACAGAAAGTTGTTTTAAGGTGTTAACATATTTCCTCCACTGTATAGAAGTGTTGATCTGAATTTTCGGTAAACTTGTCCCTCAAAGTAAATCTTATTGGTATAAAAAGCTGAGGTAGCTGGACATATCTAATTAGTTACTTTTAGCCGGAGTAGAGCAGCAGAGTTTTTCTCAGAAAGCCGATCTTTAAAAGCCGGAGGTCCATCCTGCGTTTTACACTAAAATTCTTCACACCTGAAGTGCTCTGGTAACAAGATCCCTACCCCATACTACTTCCCGACTACGTACACCGTGAATATATGAAAATCGGCAGCAATATCGGTTTCTTTCTTCATGGCAAGTTTGGCAACTTGACTGATGCCGTAGGTTTGGGTTAGCATCCCACTACGTTTATTGATAGATTGTTTAATTAATGGTTTGTTAACAGTTGACCGACAGTAATTCCCTATCCCTACACTGGTGATTAACTTACAGTCTTGACGTGACCAGCCCAACACAAGCATTCTTGAGGATATAATTAACAAATTCAATTTTAACAATAAATACATTAACTAGGACCAAATGAGCCATAACTTTACTGAATTAAGAGGAAAAGATGGTAATTTAGAACTGTGGTGTTAAATAAAAAAAATTTTTATTCCCAAAGGGAATCCAAGCCGTCGGCTTTATTTCGAGCTATTCTCAAGGCACGCTGTGAGAGAGGAGGATATTTTTTTTATCCATTTACTACCATGTCTTCTAATTATCATAACACACCCTATTAGATCTTTCTGGCAGCTCGCCAATCTCCACTCAGCTAAGAGGCTCCCTCTCTCTTTCTATCCTCTCCGCAGATCGCAGTGGGTCCCCACTGGTTGGGGAGGGTAGGAACGGGGAGGCTGGAACCACAGCGGCGACCACCCCAGCAACAGCGGCGCCTCCAGGACCAACCAACACCGCCCCGACGGAGTCCATTACAGGCGCCCCCGTCATCTTCTTCCTAGGTCAGTTGCTAGCCCTTGCGGTTTAGCGCTTCTTTTTGATTATAATAATAATACATCTATCTTTCTTCTTCTGTCGCCTACCTCCACCCTTCAAGTTCTTCCTGCCTGGAGATGAGTGTAAGGGCAACAAGGAGATAGACAACAGAGGCAGGAGGAGAGAGCCACCGAACAAGGAGGTATACCTGTAGACCTCAATGTTCGGTGCTTCGGTGCTCCAGGCAGGGACTGCTTGAAGGGTATCCTCCCAAGACAGTCGTTAATTTCTTGTGCAAATTTTTTCCATACTTTCACAATTTAGAATGTTGCTTTACCGACGGATATATTGGGAATCTGTAGCTCTTCGTCCCTTCAAAAATGTCGCTCTGGAACGTCTTTACAAAATTTTAATTAAATAAGTAAAGTTTATTAAAACTTATGAGATCTGTGTACAAAGAATTCCAAACAAGTAAAAAAAATCCGATGGAAATGTGACGACAGATCAGACAGATTTCATGAGTCTTGCAAGAGCAGGCAACGAACTTGTGAGTGGAGGGTTCTGTGAATGTTGTTTACAGATATGTGCTGATGGCACGTTGTCTTAACATGGATTTGATGATGCACTGACCTGGTAATAATTCGGTACTGATGTTGCATTGACGGTATATTGATAGTCTTCTGACGCTGTATTGACGTTATGTTCAATAACTGTTTACTTTATACTGACGTCGTAGAGTTTCTTCAACGCCTCATTGCGAATATGTTATATTTGTGTATATTCTGCCAAACGATCACTATAATTTTAAGCCAAAGAAATCAAGTGTCTGAAAGATCATTTGAGCTTGCTTCTACTTTACACACACACACACACAGTCACACACAGGGAAGGCACTACAATGGATCAGGGAATACTTGTCAGGAAGACAGCAGCGAGTCATGGTACGTGGCGAGGTGTCAGAGTGGGCACCTGTGACCAGCGGGGTCCCACAGGGGTCAGTCCTAGGACCAGTGCTGTTTCTGGTATTTGTGAACGACATGACGGAAGGAATAGACTCTGAGGTGTCCCTGTTTGCAGATGACGTGAAGTTGATGAGAAGAATTCACTCGATCGAAGACCAGGCAGAACTACAAAGGGATCTGGACAGGCTGCAGACCTGGTCCAGCAATTGGCTCCTGGAGTTCAATCCCACCAAGTGCAAAGTCATGAAGATTGGGGAAGGGCAAAGAAGACCACAGACGGAGTACAGTCTAGGGGGCCAGAGACTACAAACCTCACTCAAGGAAAAAGATCTTGGGGTGAGTATAACACCAGGCACATCTCCTGAAGCGCACATCAACCAAATAACGGCTGCAGCATATGGGCGCCTAGCAAACCTCAGAACAGCATTCCGACACCTTAATAAGGAATCGTTTAGGACCCAGTACACCGTGTACGTTAGGCCCATATTGGAGTATGCGGCACCAGTTTGGAACCCACACCTAGCCAAGCACGTAAAGAAACTAGAGAAAGTGCAATGGTTTGCAACAAGACTAGTCCCAGAGCTAAGAGGTATGTCCTACGAGGAGAGGTTAAGGGAAATCAACCTGACGACACTGGAGGACAGGAGAGATAGGGGGGACATGATAACGACATACAAAATACTGAGAGGAATTGACAAGGTGGACAAAGACAGGATGTTCCAGAGATGGGACACAGTAACAAGGGGACACAGTTGGAAGTTGAAGACACAGATGAGTCACAGGGATGTTAGGAAGTATTTCTTCAGCCACAGAGTAGTCAGTAAGTGGAATAGTTTGGGAAGCGATGTAGTGGAGGCAGGATCCATACATAGCTTTAAGCAGAGGTATGATAAAGCTCACGGCTCAGGGAGAGTGACCTAGTAGCGACCAGTGAAGAGGCGGGTCCAGGAGCTCGGATTCGACCCCCGCAACCTCAACTAGGTGAGTACAAATAGGTGAGTACACACACACACACACACACACACACACACACACACACACACACACACACACACACACACACACACACACACACACACACACACACACACACACACACACACACACATATATATATATATATATATATATTATGAATGGTACATTCACTTTCAGAGAAATAATAGACTTGCATATAATGATTAATGAGTTTATTTATCACCATGAAAAGTCAGTTACATCTTCATTAAGGAATATATATATAATTAGCCTCAGAATCATTAATATTTAATGCAGTGTCATTAATTGGTAATTCATATTTATTATTAGATGTGTTATCATTAATAACAATTATTTTATTAATGGACTAATATATTAGTACTCACAGATGTATCATCAATAGTTTGGTGAATCATCGTCAATAGAAGGATGTCTTGTTAAGAATAATTTTTAAATATCGTCCTTACGGAAAGACTTATTATTAACAGTTTTAAATGACTCGGTTCCTAATGTAACGTTTATGAATGAATGGCTAAAAATTGCTTACTAAGAAACTATTGTTTAAGCAAGTGTTGTTTTAGTAAATGCTTTTCGAGCAAGTGTTGTTTAAGTAAGTGTTGTTTAAGTAAGTGTTGTTTAAGTAAGTGTTGGTTAAGTAAATGTTGGTTAAGTAAGTGTTGTTTAAGTAAGTGTTGTTTAAAGTGTTGGTTAAGTATTGTTTAAGTAAGTGTTTTAAGTGTTGCTTAAGCTAGTATTGTTATGAAGGTAATTTTTAATCTGTTGTTTACGTAAGTACTGTTTAAGTGTTAGGTAAGTATTATTTAAATAGGTGTTATTTAAGTAGGTACCTGTTTAAGACTCAATATGCGGTTTATGTCTTTACTGAGAGTACTGATAAAACTCCTGACGAGCGAAACATCTCAGTAAAGGTATAAACTTTATATAACATCTCATTCACATACTTGCCGGTATATTTAACCATTGTCATTCATAAATATGTGTTGTTTAACTAAGTGCTGCTTAAGCAAGTGCAGTTTAAGTCAGTGCTGTGTAACTTAAATGTGGTTTCAAGCAGGCGGGCCAGGCAGTGGAAAGATGACACACGCGCAGAACCTGGCGGACATCCACGAAGACTACAGACACATCAATCTCACCGTCGTGATCAGTGAATACATCAAGGAAAACGGTCAGTGAATCATCCCTTCCATCCTGTTTGTGTGATGCTGTGAGTGTTGTGGCCATTTCTTCATTATAAGAGTCTCGTAATTCACGGCTTGGGCTTTCGCTCACAGCCGAAGGACACGGTTTCAATCCAGGGCGGGTGCAGGTGCATAAACACGTCTAATAACACCTGCTGGCCCCGTTCGCCTAGTAGTAGGTACTTCAGAGTTATTTAACTGCTCGTTAGGTGGCATTCCCGTAGTATACCTTGGAATACCGCTGGACTTTGATACGAGCTAAGTCAGGATGACAGTTTTTAGACAAAAAATTCAATAGAGCAAAATAAATCCCAGTGGTGTAAGGATCAGTCCATATAATTATTTAATCGCTAGGATCAAAGGCTTACAATTAAAAAAGCCCGGGGAGCAAGAGACTCAAACCAGCCTCCAGTATGGACCTATCAGTAAGTAGGTGCCTGGATGTTAGTTGACTGTTTGGGGTCGTATCTTAGGATTCTGCGTCCTACTGATACACACTTCGTCGTATACACATTGAAAGATGCACACGACTGGGAATTACTAAGTATTTTCCTCCCCAGTTTTATTTGCGTGTTATAAATTGAGAATACACCTTCGGATCAATCGTGGAACTACTCTCCCTACCCCCTTCCTCAGATCAAACCTGATTGCCTCCCATTCCCCAAGTGTTGTGTGATCCCTTACGAGTTTGGGGTTTCCAAACGGCTATAATAAATCGGATTGACCTTATAAAAATCTGAGCGTTTGTTTGCCTGGGCAAAAGGAAGATTCCTTCTCTTATAGGACCATGTAGCACTCTAGTCACCTACCCTGGAACACGTCCTTTGTGATCGAATACAGAGCAGACATAGCTAGCTCTTGTTCTCACTGTGTTTGCCATATTGAATAGGGTACCAGCCCACTGCGGGAGTTGCCACTAATGTTACCATCCCATTGCGGGTATTTCACCTCTGTTACTGTTGTATAGGGTAACACAGCGGCACATTGTGAGTGTTCCCACTATGTAGCAATGAACAAGAGTAGGGTAGCAGCACACTACGGATGTTCCCACTAAGTAACAATCAGCAAGAGTAGGATAGCAAAACTCACCATCGTCTCTGATCCATTGGAAGAACACACAAGAGCAGCTGTAGTAATATAAAGCTTAAAGGAGGCGCCACATTCATGAATCCACTGTAGGACTTCCCAGAGAAGAGGAGTCGATTAGGGGGATTGTGGTCATCTGTTAAATTATAGGTTGGGAAATGTTGCAAAGTCAATTTGAGACCCTAGTCCACTAGATAACAATTATCACTGTATTATCCCCACAGCCAAGCCACAGACGAAACTCGTCACTAAAAGAGAAAAGCGTTTTCCTTTCCGCAAGGTGACGAAGGAGACTACTGAGGCAGTGGTTGTGAAAGGTAGTTCTAGAGGTGGTTTTAGGAACGTAGTTCACTTGCTCATTCTCCCGGTTTTGTCACCAGCCTGATCTAACTAGCCTTCAGGTTATCTATGGTGATGGGTCCTGGCCACAGGGAAGGGATCTGATCATTCTGAGGCTTTGGTCACTTAAGTATACCACCCAGATGACCTGATCCTCCCACATCATCAAACTGATGACCTGGCCAAACTAGTGACCCAGCCCATGCTGATGATCCAAACAGATTGGTAATCTGAGCAAATAGGAGGCCTGGCTTGACTGGAGACCTGACCGGTTTAATAACCTGATCCAACTGGTGACCCCCAGCCAGAATGGTAGCTTAAATTGGTCTACCAGGCTGATGATCGAGTACTAGTCCTAGTCAAGCTGGCAGTCTGGCCAGCCTGTTGACCTGGCCCGTTTGGTTATGGGGATCAGTTTGCGACCAGGCCGAGTTGATGCTCCAATTTGGTTAGTGAGATCAGGCTGATGAAGAAACTCAGATGCACTTGCAGCATCCAGTACTTGTGGTGCTGGTAACAGCATCCAGCACTTGTGACGCTGGTAGCAGCATCCAGCACCTGTGACGCTGGTAACAGCATCCAGCACTTGTGACGCTGGTAACAGCATCCAGCACTTGTGACGCTGACAGCTGTCCCACGCTGTGTTTCCGAGATCATAATCTACGGTGATCCACAAGTGTGAAATTATCTTATTTTCTTAACAAGAGGAAGCCAGATATTTTGCTCAACAATAATCTTTTTCATTATTTACCAAATTTTGAAGGGAATTTATTCTCATGCGACATTATTAAATTTGCTAATTTCAAATAAATTGCCATCACAGCAGGTTGGACAAAGACTGTACCTATCCAAATCAAATTATCAATGTTTAGTTTGTGGGTAGATGCAGTTTTAAGGTACCGGTGTATTCACCTCCCTATGTTTTGAGGGGAAAACAGGTGTAAACACAGGGGATGGAAACGGTGTCAGCGCAGATGTTCCCACATCACTACTGCATGACTGCACCTATCGTTGATTACTCCTCACACTGGTGATGATGATGATGATGAGATGATAATGATGATGATGCCCCCTACCCATGACAATACTCAGAGAACATTCATTTGAGTTTTCAGTGTGATTATCGGACACGGCAATGTCAATATGCAATTTTTGGGTTAATATTAGATACAAGGAATACAAATCATTAACTTGTATAATAAATGTTCTTTACAGCTATAACGAATCTTTCCAGAGGTTGAGCAAATATTTAGCTTCTTCTTTATTTATTGGGCAGTAAAGAGTGTAATTTTTTCTTTATCTGGCACTAACACTGATGTACTGATGTCAGTGATGTAGTAGCATTACGTGAATCAGTTCTGGTTTACCGTCACATAGTGAAGTCTGGAATTAAATGGATGGCTTTTTAACCTCTTATTATACAACTTTTTATTGATTATATATACATTGTAATCCTTCATAAACATTATGAATTTACATGATAACCTGCTTTTATTACGTCGCATACTATCATCCACATTTTTTTTCCTCCACAACCAACTCCATTTTGGATTGACTATATTTGAGCTGCCTGTGAATATTTTGATTTTTTTTCCATATTTTTAACTATCACTAGTTATAGGCCTAGGCAGCATTAGTTTAAGAACACAAGGAAGGCAACACAGTTTGTAAGCAACGACCTCTGTGCAAAATCTTGACCACCTATCCGCCACAACATGCACATGTGTGTGTTTTTATTTATAATTTTGTATGCATGGAGTTAAGTAAGTCTTCTTCTATAACGAAGACTTTGTTTAGTAGATATAAACACGTAAAAGTTTTACTATTTATAGTTTCGCTTATTAATTTTCAGATTTTCAAAATTCTTGTTTGTATGAGGCAGATACATTTTGATCAGCTGGTAATTAACCTGAGCTGAGATAAATCTAAGATCCGACTTATTGTCTTAAAGATGAGCTTTACTCTTCTTTTTTTTTCACCTAATATTGAACACACTAGGATGGATGAAGGTCTTAGTGCTAATAAATTCTCTCTCTCTCTCTCTCTCTCTCTCTCTCTCTCTCTCTCTCTCTCTCTCTCTCTCTCTCTCTCTCTCTCTCTCTCTCTCTCTCTCTCTCTCTCTCTCTCTCTCTGATTTTTTCTCATAAAGTTGGATAAATCGTGCTCAAATTCATAATGAATACTCAAAAGCACATTATTTATCAGTGATGCAGTTAAATAAAAAAATAATTACTGACGTTTCTCAGATAAATAAAGAAACATGAGTGAGTAGTTTGTAACAGGTGTTTGAAGTGCGATATGTTGTCAGGTATCGATAGTGACAGGTGTCCATCATTTAGTACCACGTTTACGTGTTACGTTATCGCCCCCCCCCCCTTCCCCATCCGGGTGCAGCTGGTCTAGCATCACTACCATCCGGCTGTGCCTTCAAGACGTCCGTACTAATTCATCTCTTGGCAGATCTGGGATCTCCTCGTTCCATCTCTGCCACCATCGCCTTGGCTCTCCTGGCCCGGGAGATGCATATTACACCTCGCTGCAAAGGCTACCTAGTTTCTGGTTACCCTCGGCATATGGATGACGTCCATCACTACAACGAGAAGGTGAGGTGATGTTATCAGCTGTGTAGCCCTTACTTAGTGTTATGCTTGAGTTGTTCCTTATTTAATGTGTTAAGATGGTATCCATGCTCCCGTTGGCTCCTTCAGGCTGTCATTTGATATGTCATTGTGTTTAGTAGGAGTAAATGTGAAGCGACTTCCTTTTGGTTTTCACGTTGTTGTTTCACGGGCTGTACATGGGTGGCCTGTATGATTATTTAGAAGTATTTTTAGTGACGGCTCACCGCCACCCGTCTTTCCCCACTGCCACCCGCCACCGCCTGCCACCTTGCCCTCATGCCACCTGCCAATCACCACTGCTCCATCACCCAGCCTCGCCATCACCCAGGGTGACAGGCTGGCAACGCATTGCTGGGTGGCGAGTGGCACTAGGACCGGATGGAAGCGGGCGGCGAACGGTAGGTGGCGGCGAGAGGAGAAGCATGGCGCCAGGTGAAGAGAGAGCGGGAGAAGGCAGTCATACAGACCAAAAAGTCTACGGAGGATGTAAACCAAAACTGAGCCGCTCTGTTCACTTCCCTCTACCGTAGTTAACTTTTTTTCTAACAGTCAGACAGGTCAACTGTATCTGACGCAGTATCATCTACAACTTCCAATACCTCTAGCATTATGCTTTCAATTATACTGACGTGAAGTTTACCTTAAAAAGATAAAGTCCGGCAGCAAAAAAAAAATAGTTATCCTGACATGTAGAGTACATTTAATGTAATAAGCAGATTCCACTACATCTGCGTGTTGTACGAAAATAGAAATCTCAGCACTACATGACACATAAACAAGAAAATAGACGTTAATTGGGTTGCTATGAGCAGTCCAAGAGGGATTCGGGTGAATCTTCTGATATCTTAGATATGATACTCCTTTTAACCTCATTCTTGATAACATTTTCTCAAAGATTTTTGGGCTAAGGACCACTAAAAAATATAGGAATATATATATATATATATATATATATATATATATATATATATATATATATATATATATATATATAATATAATATATATATATATATATATATATTAAATTTATTACGAATTTTTTTTTGTATAAGTTAAAGTGATAATTAATGTACTGGGAGATGTTTATTAATTTCCATAATTAATTATAAGGGTGGTGAACTGCAAGTAATGGTGACTATGTAGTGGTTTTGATAATTAGAGGCGAGGGTGTGTTCAAAGAGTTTGGTGGGAGATGATGTGAGCACAATGAGTGTAGTGTAAGTAAGGTGGATAACCAGGGAGAGTGTGTGATGAATGGTTTGAAAAACCGACAAGTTGAAGATTGAGACACTTATGCAGCATATGGGAATCTTTATTCAGGAAACGTTTCGCCACACAGTGGCTTCATCAGTCCAATACAAAGAGGAAGGCGTAAGGAGAGGAGGAGAATGAGGTAATCAGTCCCTCAACCTGAGTCGATGTGTTTCAGTCCATCAATCTTGTAGAATGTACAGCATAGGGCCGTAGACGTGGCTTATATACTGTAGTGAGGTGACGTGAAGCAGGAGGCGGGGTCATAGTGGTACCATCCACTAGTCGAAGTAGGTCTTCGTCCAAAGGTTGAACAAGTGTTGAAGAATTCTTTGTAACAAGACCCCATGATGCTGCCGTGTCTGACAGTTGTGATGAATGGTTTGAAAAACCGACAAGTTGAAGATTGAGACACTTATGCAGCATATGGGAATCTTTATTCAGGAAACGTTTCGCCACACAGGGGCTTCATCGTCCAATACAAAAGAAGGCGTAAGGAAGGGGGAAAATGGGGTAATCATCCCTCAACCTGGAGTCGAGGTTCGGGGTCCATCAATCTTGGAATGTACCAAGGGCCGTAACGGGGCTTATATACTTAGTGAGGTACGTGAACAAGGGGAGCGGGGCTAGGGTACCATCCACAGTCAAGAGGTTTTTCGCCAAAAGGGTTTTAACAAGTTTTGAAGAATTTTTTGAACAAGACCCCATGATCTGCCGGGTCTGACATTTTGATAAAATTTTAAAAAAACCGACAATTGAAGATTGAACACTTATCACAAAAGGGAACTTATTCGGAAACTTTCGCCACACAGGGGCTTCATCATCCAATCAAAGGGGAAAGGCAAAGGAAGGGGGAGAATGAGGTAATCAGTCCTCAACCTGGAGTCGATTGTTCAGTCCACAATCTTGAGAAGTACAAAAGGGGCCGAGACTGTTTTATATACTGAGGGGGTGACGGAAGCAGAGGAGGCGGGGTCATAGTGGTACCATCCACAGTCAAGTAGGTCTTCGCCCAAAGGTTGAACAAGTGTTGAAAATTTTCTTTGTAACAAACCCCATAGCGCCGGTCTGACAGTTGTGATAATGGTTTAAAAAACCGACAATTTGAAGTTGAACACTTATGCAGCAAAGGGAATCTTTTTTCAGGAAACGTTTCGCCACACAGTGGCTTCATCACCAATACAAAAGGAAGCGAAGGGAGAGGAGGAAATGAGTAATTTCCCTAAACCGGGGTCATTGTTCAGCCCTCAATCTTTGAATGTACACATAGGGCCGTAGACGGGGTTTATATACTGTAGTGGGGTGACGTAAGCAGATGGGGGCGGCATAGGGGGTACCATCCACATCAAGTAGGTTTTTCGTCCAAAGGTTGAAAAAGGGTTTTTGAAGAATTTCTTTGTAACAAGACCCCATGATGCTGCCGTGTCTGACAGTTGTGATGAATTTTTTGAAAAACCGACAATTGAAGATTGAGACATTTAGCAGCAAAAGGGAACTTATTCAGGAAACGTTTCGCCACCAGTGGCTTCATCACAATACAAAAGGAAGGCGTAAGGAAAGGGGAGGAGAATGGGGTAACACCCCTCAACCTGGAGTCGATTTTCATCCTCAATCTTGTAGAATTCAGCAACCTAGACGGGGGTTATAACTTGTGAGGTGACGGAAGAGAGGGAGGGGGGGTCATGTGGACCCCCACTAGTCGAAGTAGTTTTGGGTAAAAGGGTTGAACAATGTTAAGAATTCTTTGTAACAAACCCCATGATGCGCCGTGTCTGAAATTTTGTGATAAATGGTTTAAAAAACCGAAAAAGTTGAAGTTTGACACTTAAGCATAGGGGAAAATCTTTTTTCGGGAAACGTTTCGCCACACAGGGGGCTTCATCAGTCCAAACAAAAAAAGGCGAAAGGGAAAGGGGGGAAATGGTAACACCCCCAAACCCTGGAGCGATTGTTCATCCATCAACTTGAGAATGTACACAAGGGCCGAGACTGGTTTATATAGTATTAGTGGGGAAGCAAGGGAGGGGGGGTAAGGGGTACCATCCACAGTCGAATAGGCTTCCCCAAAGGTTGAACAATGTTAAGAATTCTTTGAACAAACCCCATGACTGCCGGTCTGACAGTTGTGATAAGGGTTTGAAAAACCGACAGTTGAAGATTGAGACACTTATGCAGCTATGGAATTTTACAGGAAACGTTTCGCCACAAGGGGGGCTTCATCAGCCCCCAAATAAAAAAGAGGAACTAAGGGAGGAAAAAATTTTTAGTTCGTCCCCAACCCGGGAGTCGATTTTATTTTTTTTTTTGTGTTTTTTTAGGTTTTTTTTTTTTTTTTTTTTTTTTTTTTTTTATTTTTTTTTTTTTTTTTTCCTGAAAAAAGATTCCCATAGCGCAAAAGGTCTCAATCTTCAACTTGTGGGTTTTTTTTCAAACCATTCATCAAACGTCAACAGGGCAGCATCAGGGGTCTTTTTTACAAAGAATTTTTCAACACTGTTCACCTTGGACAAGACCTACTTCGACTAGTGGGGGGTACCACAAGACCCCCCTCCTCTGCTTCACGTCACCTCCTACAGTAATAAGCCAGTCTACGGCCCTATGCTGTACTTTCTACAAGATTGAGGACTGAACACATCGACTCCGGGTTGGGGGACGATACCTCTTCCCTCCCCTCTCCTTATTTTTCCTCTTTGTTTTGGGAGATGAAGCCACGTGTGGCGAAACGTTTCCCTGAATAAAATTCCCATTGCTGCATAAGTGTCTAAATCTTAAATTTGTGGGTTTTTCAACCTTCATCCAACTGCAACAGGGCAGCATCATGGGGTTTTGTTACAAAAATTTTTAAACATTTGTTCAACCTTTGGACAAGACCTACTCACTAGGGGAGGGTACCACTATGACCCCCGCCTCCATCTCTTCACCACCTACACAGTTTTAAAAAGCCACGTCTAGGCCCAATCTGACATTCACAAATGAGGACGAACACACGACTCCAGGTGAGGACTGATTACCTCATTCTCCCCCTCCTTACCCCTTCCTTTTTGTATTGGGACTGATAAACCCACGTGTGGCAAACGTTCCTGAATAAAGATCCCATATGCTGCATAATGTTCAATCTTCAACTTGTCGGTTTTTTAAAACCATTCATCACAACTTAAACAGGGGCAGCATCATGGGGTCTTGTTACAAAAAATTTTTCAACACTTTTAAACCTTTGGACGAAGCCCATTCACTAGTGATGTACCACTAGACCCCCCCATGCTTCACTCACCTCACACATATATAAGCCACGCTAGGGCCCTAGGGCTGTAAAATTCAAAGATGGGATGGACTGAACACACGACCCAGGTTGAGGGACTGATTACCTATTCCCCCCCCTTACCCCTTTTCCTCTTTGTTTTGGGACTGATGAAGCCACGTGTGGCAAATTTTTCCTGAATAAAGATTCCCATATCTGCTAATGTCTCAATTTTCAACTTTGGGTTTTTCAAACCATTCACAAAACGCAACAGGGCGCATCAGGGGTCTTTTTACAAAAAATTCTTCAACACTTGTTCAATTTTTGGCGAAGACCTACTCGACAAGGGGATGGTACCCAACCCGCCTCCATCGCTTCACGTCACCTCACTACAGTATAAAGCCAGTCTAGGGCCCTATGCTGTCATTCTACAAAAATTGGGACGAACACATCGACTCCAGGTTGGGGGACGATTACCTCTTCCCCCTCCC